CATAATCTTCAATTTTATTACATGACAGGAGGCTTCGTATTTTGCATTTGTAACGCTGATATAACAAAGAAAACGCCGCGCAGGAGTTTGGTCTAAAGTAGAAGGTTCAAAAAGTGGATTCACGTGACCAGTCGGCAGTGCGTAGAACATCTGATAGTGATGCTCCGGCTGCGTAGACCGAAGAAGCAGCCGCGCCTCTCACCGAATGAGCCCCGAAAGTGGCATTCACGCCCACCAGTGACAAGATCCAGTGTACCAATCTAGCGAGAGTGATAGAGGAAACTGGATTGTAGGGTTTGACGTAGGAAATCAGTAGTTGACCGGAGGGAGTCGGGCAAAGAGAGGCAGTAGCCGTCACATAGCTGCGTAAGGTTGCTACCACGCATAATTGGGGTTCCGCGACGAAGAAGGGGTAAAAAATGGCGGTGGAGTTCGATTTGGTCCATCGGGAGACATGGAAGGTGACCCCTTCAGGATCTATCGAAAAGGCGTTGACTTCGAAGGCCTTAACGTCGGATACCCGACGAAATGAAACTAAGCAAAGTAACATCGTCATTTTTGCAGAAAGTTGGCGAAGCGTTGAGAGAACGGAGGTTTATGACTGGTCGGAGGTCTCCTGTTTTCTTCTTTACTAAGAAGATGTTGCTGAAGAATCCTCCTGAGTCCGGGGTGGGTTCTATCCCACCCTTGTTGCGGAGTTCCCGAAGTTAGGCTTGGATAAGTTTGGAGTCCTCTGCTGAACTGTTGAGCAGTCGTGGTGGGACCTCTTGATAAGGTGTGCTGACAAATTCTATGATGTATCCCTGTACCGTCTGGAGTATCCAAGCGTCTGACGAGATGGTCATCCAGTTCTGAAAGAAAAGGGAGAGACGACCTGCATGCAAGGTGATCGAAGGTAGATGATAGCTTACCTGGTGCGAAGCGGGATCTGCCACGACCACGGGTACTGCGTCCTCTGTCCGAACCTCTTGAGTAGGGGAAAGGTTGATGGTATCCTGTTTCTGGGTAGAAGGGTTGTGGTCTTGAGGATCGGGGGCCTGATGGCCAGAAACGGCTGACAGCACGGCCCCTGTGGCGGCCAGCCCGTCCAAAAACACCCCTAGGGGGGTATTGTCTGAAGACCCTCCTCATTGAGGTTTGAGCTTTACTCAATGAGGTAAAGATGTTGACGTGTCGGTTCAATTCCTTTAGAATAGGGTCTCCAAATAATTTGCCCTGTGCCAGAGGTCCGAGTTCTTTGGTGCCCAACTCCACCAACTTCCCGTCTATGCGGAGAAGTGCTGCCTTACGCCTCTCTGAAGAGAGGGCCACATTTGAGTTTCCAAGGAAACAAAAAACGCGTTGAGCCCATTCGTGGATATCGTGAGCCCATTCCCTGACCATGTCGGCATCAAATTGGTCTGCACGTTGGAAGGCATCGTCTGCCAGGTACATTATGCGAGAGAGGGGTCCGGAGGTATCTAGAAGTTTGTCTTTTGAATCATCTCTCCACCCCGTGGTGGGGGTTGTGACCACCTCTGCTCATGAAGGTAGTGATTACCTGGTCAAATTCTGGTGTCATGGCCACTTGGTCTGGTAGGGAAGGGCGGGGGCATTCCGACTTCAGTCAGTTGCGGACTAACTTGTCCATAGGTTTGCGCATCCATAGGTGCATAAACTTTGCGAGGTGTTCCGGAGGCATCCAGTCTGTGGAGCAGGGGTGCCTGATGTTTCGTGGATCAAAGAGCATCTGGCCCATGGGGTCCAGAATAGCTTCGTCCTGTGGCAGGGTGGTGTCCCCTGTCCTTTGCCATTCGGCAGCGAATGATTCTGAATCCCCTGTGTGAAAGGGTTTAGATTCTGAGCCCAAGGCGTCGTCATCGGATTGGGAGGCATTAGCCTGCCATTCTTCCAATATGGCCATAGTGTCATCAATGTCTTCCTCTTCCTCTGAGGATAGCGCCTGGGTGGGAGCAGGGGTAACGGCGGTTGCCGTTTTGCTTTTCTTAATGTACCTTGATCGGTTTGGGGTCCTTCTCCCCTTTCCAATTGCGCTTACTAGCCCAGGTGTCGTCCTTAGACTGGGTTTTAGAGTCTTCAGATTCGGTGTCTGGGCGTGTGCGGTGTGGCCTGGAGCGTTCTGGTTGAATGGCCATCATATGGGATAGGGCCTTTTCCATAGAAGCGGCCACCGCTGCATTTACCATGGACTGAAAGTCCACTGGAGTAGACTGTGAGTCTTCCATGATAGTAAGGGCTTGGCACTTGTAGGAGGGCCGTTGAGGCAGGGGTCAGCAGTAGGAGAGGATCCTACGGTAGTTATGGTACCAGCAGTACCGGATTTAACCCCAGCAGGGTAATGTTCCAGAATAGTACTAGTAGTACTAGGGCCCCAGTAGGGTAGGATAGCTCAGGAACAGTAAGTACCAGCAGTACTAAATATATCACCCCAGCAGGGTGTATTGGGTTTTGTGTCTGGGAAGCACCCAGTATGCAGAGATTGCAACAGCAGAGCTCTGATAGGCAGCACCTTAATGGGGCCTCACCCCAGAGTGCACAGGGTATTGAGCCCTATAGTGCACATATACCACAGGAGTAACAGAGACTTTCTGTGGGGACCCCTGCCTGGATGAGAGTAGTGTGAGTTGATAGTGGAATCTGAAACAGTAAGGGGATATGAGTGACCAATTGAGTTGTGGCACATATGGATTGAAGTAAGAATATGCAAACAAGGTGTTAGAATAAAACAATGCTTACCTTAAAAGACCAAGCAGGTGTAGCTCTCCAACAGAGTCAGACCGTGAAGTGGGTGAAGCTCCAAAAAGGATCCAAGATGGCCGCCGCCACACTGAAAGTGTGGGAAAGTAGATCCGGTGGGAGGGAAGGGGGGAAGCAGAGTGCCCAGAATACATATAGGTATATGTGAGGGGGCCTCAGGAAAAATTCCTGAGTAGAAAGTTAACCAGGCATAAAGGAATGACAGTTAAATAAAGATACACAGAGAAGGCAATAAATTACAAGCAATATAAGTATAATAAATATGTAAACATTGAATAAATATGAGGAGCTCAATGTTCTGACCTGTCTGCTGATGGAGCAGTAAAGAAAAGAGGGGGAGGAGCCTGTTCACTGGGAATACCATACCTCCTACTGTTTTTTGATTGGTTCTTACTATCCTTTTCTTTACTGCTATGGAGTTTAGTAAAGAGAGTTATGCAAAATACGAAGCCTCCTGTCATGTAATAAAATTGTTCTTCACCTTCATGGTATTCTATTGCTGTAGCCAATTCAGGTTTTAATGTACTGTGCATTCAGATATGCTCTTCTTCTTAGTAGCACTGTTGTAGTGTAGTGGTATTTACTATAGACTTTCCATCAGCTTGAATCATTTTCATCTGACTTCTTATTAAGTAGGTGCATTTGTCCACATTACTTCTATTCTCTGGATATTTTGTTCATCATTCTGTAAACTCTAGAGACTGTTGTGCATGAAAATCACAAGATATCAGTGGTTTATGAGATATTCAAGCCTACATGTCCTATGTCAACAATCATTTCCCATTCTCAGTCATTTGGCTTTTGGTTTGAACCTGTTGACCATGTCCGGATGTGTTTTATGGTTGCTGTCCATGATTAGCATTATAGATATTATTATTAAAGGACCACTATAGGCACCCAGACCACTTCAGCTCAATGAAGTGGTCTGGGTGCCAGGTCCATTATGGTTAACCCTGCCTTCTGTAAACATAGCAGTTTCAGAGACACAGAGCAACTGCTATGTTTACATTAGGGTTAATCCAGTCTCTAGTGGCTGTCTCATTGACAGCAGCTAGAGGGGCTTCCGCGCTTCTCACTGTGATTTTCACAGTGAGAAGACGCCAGCTTCCATAGGAAAGCATTGAGAATGCTTTCCTATAGACTGACTGAATGCGCGTGCGGCTCTTGCCGCGCATGCGCATTCTGCCGATGACATCGGAAGAGGGAGGAGAGTCCCCAGTGCAGAGGGAGCCCTACGCTGAAGAAAGGTGAGTGTTTAACCCCTTCCTCCCCCTTCAGCCCGGTGGGAGTGGGACCCAGAGGGTGGGGGGGACCTATTAATACTATAGTGCCAGGAAAACGAGTTTGTTTTCCTGGCACTATAGTGGCCCTTTAATGAGCAGGTGTTCTGGTGTACATAAAAAGTGTCACTGAGTGTATATGTATAATAAATTGTTTTCTAAGATAATTAGGTTCTGATTGAAGGAAAAACAAACTAAAACATGATGAAGCATATTTTGAAATATTTATATTCACTTTTTATTCTTATAGTTACATTCAGATTTGAAACTTAAGTTAGGATGAAAAATCTCTATTCTTGTCTCGTGTAAACTTGCCTGCTCTACAAAGCACCAGCTGAGCTGTTTAGAAAAGGAAAACAATTGTATGTACAGGGTGGGCTAAAATTCAGAGTAGGGTTTGAAAAGTCAATAACTTTTTTTTTTATTAACGAACTAATATAAATGATATTACATATAACGAATGCTTAACATATGGATATTTTTTTGACTATGTAAAGAAGATGCAATCTTTTAAAAGAGGTCAATTTTTTGCTTCATAAATTTGGATGCTTCCAATTGCATTGTTCATAATATTAGTTAATGTTTGAGACACTTGCACTCAAATGTATGCATGGGTATTCTCCTTAAACTGCTCATATGTACACGGTTTGTTCATGTACACATGCTACTTCAGATATGCTTACAGGAAGTAACCAGAAGCTGAAAGGTCGGGGCGAACATGGCAGTCAGTTAATCTGGGAATTTCTTGAAATGATTTGCTTGCTGAAAAGCTGTCTAAGGAGAACCATTGTGGCTCTGGCTGTATGAAGAGTATCCCCATCCTCTAGAAACCCTAAGGGGCAGCGGTTAGCTATTTGAATGAGAATAATGGACCTGCCATTTTGAAAATAAACCTACACAATTTTTTACAAATTTCGCCTGTCTGCGCTGCAGGGTTACTTCGGCCTTCCCGCTCACCGTCTCATGAGACTGTGCGAGCAGCAGCAGGTGATAGTGGAGTTTCAGCTTCAGCACGCATGGGTCAGTGGCTCTGCACCAGACTTCCCTCTAATTTATCAGAGTTAAAGGATTTCAAGTGCACTCATTACAATTACAGGGCCTCTAAAGAGTCCTGTATTGTTATTTGTCGTCACTACCTTCCCACGTCGGGAGTGGGTCATTTGCACGCCTGCTGCCTTCCTTGCACGTGGTAGCCGTTTCTCAGGGTCCCTGTACGGAATGGAACCCTGATTCCCCATTACCCGTTGGTCACCATGGTAGGTGCAGAAACTGGCATCGAAAGTTGATATGGATGACATCCAAATGCAAAGTCGCCATCACGGGGATGTACCATTGGCCTGAGGTTCTCTAGAGTCAACAAAGTGCCCGCGCAACTATAATGTCAACAGCTACTCTGCGGAACAGAGTTGTCTTTTTTACATGTCCCAATATTTTGGTGACTACCCCAATTAAAATATATATATATATATATATATATATATATATATAAAAACAGTGTTGTCTACCTCATCCTCCTCCTCTACCGCCGCTTCCACCTACACCGCCACGGTCACCGCCTCCTCAACCTATGGGAATACGGCAATAGGAGACAAATTGAATAAAATTATGGGATATGGAATGTATCAAATAGAATAGGCTTTGGCAGAGATATGAAATATGGTGAAGACTCTGGGAGTTTCCTATATGCATTTTGTAGCCAGAAACAAGATTTGATTTCAATGGAAGTAATAAACAAAACATAGTGAAAAGCATTAAAAGTACACTATACTACTATTTATACATATATACGCACACATAAAAACATGTATTATTAACGCTATAGTGTCTCATGTGAGAGCCCCCCCACAACCTAAATAATTTTTTTTATAAATTAAAGGGGACGTGGCCTGACCGCAGAGCTGAATGGACATGCACTAGTTCAGATCCTTATAGCCGGACCGACAATCCACTCTAATCGGAGACCTACACCAACTATGGGGGACCCCAAAAGACAAAATAACTCTCAAGACACCTCAGGGAGAACACCACTGGCAAAACCGAGCTCTCGGACACGATACTTTAGAGAAACAACAGACCGTGAGGTGGAGGCCGCAGGAAACAAAATGGCGCTGACGGAAAATCAATCTGACTCTCTGCTGCTCAGCCCCGCACCATCTGAAGGCTCATACAAGTCCCAGGAAATACCTCAGGACCTTGATATACGGGAGCTACTCAAAAACCTACTGTCAAAAGTGGATCTAGCCAACATGCTGGGCAAGTTAGAAGCAACCTTCCAATCGAAAATGGAGGCTCTGGGTTCTGAAATACAACAAGTAAGTCACAAAGTTACTGACTTAGAAGAAGAGAGGGATGTTCTGCAATCCCAAATCTTACACCTATCCTCGACAATAGATACTCATACACAATACATGGCGGGTATCCAATGCCAGATGGATGACCTAGATAATAGAGGTCGAAGAAATAATGTAAGATTGCGAGGCCTACCTATTTAAGTGTATACTAGGCGAGGCTCACAGAGGCTGGACAGAGCTCACAGATTGCTGAGACCAAGAGGCCCAGCCACGGACATACCCAGAGATGTGAAATGCAGGTTGCACTACTTCTCGGTAAAAGACAGCATACTGAGAGCCTTAAGGGACGCATCACCCCCCCTCTTATACCATGGACACTCAGTGCAAGTCTACCAAGACCTCTCCTGGCTCACGTTACAAGCCTGGAGGGCAATAAAACCGATCCCTGAACATCTCCGCAACCGCGATATAAAGTACAGATGGGGTTTCCCTTTCGCCCTTATAGTTAATCATAAAGGAACCACCCATGCAATCTCCTCACATCTGGATCTACAACCCTTCCTAAAGGCTCTTGAACTGCTGACACACAAATTCTGGACTGGTACTCTCCTCAACTATACTCAGAGTCAGCGAGCTTACAGCAACGCCACCGATGGGCCATCCCAGCCAAAAAGAGGTGAACGGACCCTCGATTCATCTCACCCCAAAGACGACAACGACATGATCAAAGAGGACTGGCCGAATAATCAGGAAACACCCACACCCTCCACAACAGTTGGACTCTCTGCTGGTCATTACGCCAATTACAACGACTAACGGACTCTTACCACGTGATTACTGTCTTGGACATATCACACTGAACAAGCGACGGATTCAACCTATTGAACACATAGCTCTGAGAAACGATAACCGGGCCTATCATTTCACGAACAGGAAGAACCCTAAAGGACACTGAAAACTGTTGAAACCTTAGCTCATGGGGTTAACTTTGCAGATAACGGAAGAATCCTGAAAATGCCCAAATCTAATATGAACTCTCTCAACAATCAAATGGATCATCCCCCTTTCCACACAGGTCATATGAATCCTGATAGTCCTGTACTTATACACATGCATGTTTAATAACATAACTCCTTGAGATAACCTAATGGTGTTCAGTAATTCACTTAGAGACCTACTGACAGAGAGTCCCCCCCCCAGTTGGCAAGACAAAAATGCCCTAACAGTCTCCTATGCATAAAAATGACAGATTGTGGATTATGTCAAATCGAGTTAAACCCCTATGCCACACACCCCAAATAAAATTATTTCTATCTCCCGCACAGAGATAGAAAAGTAGTAACCACAGAGATTACATTGTTCACCCATAGCCTGGGGGACGGTTAAACTCCTTAAGTTTACACGAACAGTACAGCTCACACCTTTGAAACCCACCCCTTCCCAATTCCACAAAATTATTTGTTGTAAAAACTGTTATTATTGTCTTATCTAGCAACCAGTGTATGTTAAGCGCAAAAGGTTTATTTTATTTTGTTCTGCATTATTGTTGATACAGACTGTTCAAAGACTTCTCTAACCATCTGACATATTCACACCCCAATAGACCACAACAGCTCACACCATGACCACAATCCACCTCATTTCAGAGAATGCCAAAGGGCTTAACACCCCAGAAAAGAGATCTCTGGCTTTGACAGATTTCCATAGACAGAAAGCGGAGATTGTCTTTATACAAGAGACACACTTCTGTAAAGATTCTGCTCCAACGCTACGAAACCACAGATACCCGACAGGTTACTTTAGCCACTTCACAGGGGCAAAAGCCAGGGGAGTGGGGATATTAATGAGAAGCCAAGTCCCCTTCACATTTAATAAGCAGGAGACTGGCAAAGCCTGTCGTTACATATTTGTCTCAGGGACCATAGGTAAGACAAAGGTTACATTCACAAACCTGTATCTCCCAAATAAGAAACAATGTCAGGCCCTGAAAAGAATCTTAACAAAACTGTCTGCGTTTCAAGAGGGTATACTTATCATGGGGGTGGCGATATGAACTTTACCCTAGATGGGGACTTAGATACATCATTCTCATCCAGCGATTACCTCACCTCAACATGCGGAAAATGACACACTAAGTTACACGACGCACACCTATATGACTGCTGGAGGACCATACACCCCACCAGCAAAGACTATTCCTTCTTCTCCCCACCCTCAGGTACATATACATGCATAGACATGTTGTTTACACTCCATAAATTTCTGCCACTCATTAAATCCTCTATATATGGAGCACTTGGGCAGATCACACACCTTTACTCCTGGAAGTCGTCATCCCATCTCTCCCACATACCCCCCACAATAGAAACTAAACAACCTTTTATTAAACAACACAGACATCATTGCTCAGTTGAAGGAAACTGCGCAGAGATATTTTGAAGACAACACACACACAGTGCTTTGGGAAGTGCATAAATGAGTCCTTTAGAGATGAACTTATCAAAATAGCAGCGAGCCAGAAACGCAAGAGGGACTCACTCATCTCAGAGCTAACTCAAGAAATTAGATCCCTTGAGGACCAACATAATAACAATAAATCACTAGCAACTTATAAAAAACTAACGTCCAAACGATCAGAGGTAACCACATTACTTCACATACATAAAAAACGTAAAATACAACTCACAAAACACACCTACTACACACAGGGAGGGAAAGGCGGCCGCTAAAACAAGAAAGACAGACGACCTTCATATCGGCAATTCAGCACCCAGATGGCTCCCAGACATATCTATTGCCAGCTATAACCAATGCCTTACAAACATACTACACAAAACTATACAATTTGAGAGAAACGTCACCTTCACCGACAGATATCCAAAAAACTTTACAGACAAGAATAAAAACCACAATACCAAATAACTTAATGAATTTCTTAGATAGTGACTGGACGAAATACATCATAAAATCAGACACACACCATTAGGTAAAAGTCTGGGACCAGATGAATACACAAACAAATACTATAAAATCATGGCCCTGGTCCTAGCACAACCATTCCTCAATGCCTTCAACTCCTTAACTTCATCCCAATCACTGCCCACACAGACACTGGAAGCACCCATAGCCTTAATCCCAAAACCTGGCAAGGACCTATTGAACTGTGGCAGTTACAGGCCCATCTCTTTAATTAATGTAGACGTTAAAATATTTACGAAAATCCTGGCCACCAGACTGAAAGCTCTACTCCCTGATCTAATTCACCTAGATCAATCCGTGTTTGTCCCGGGCAGGAAAGTTAAGAATAACACCACTAAAATACTACATTGAATGCACTGGGCACAAATGAACAGGACACCAAGCACACTGCTTGCCACAGACGCAGAAAAGCCGTTCGACAGGATGGACCGGTCACTAATGGCTTGACCCACTGCCCGACTCCATATAAACGGCCAATTATCCAACCCAGTATGAATAACCAATGGGACATGACAGGGATGCCCCCTTATCCCCCTCCTATTTATACTGGTCCTAGAGCCGTTCCTACAGGGAATTAGAGATAACCCACTGAATTCATGTCAAGGGAGAGGAATAAAAAATTTCAGCATTCACTGATGATCTTCTTTTCACAATATCTGACCCTCTTACAGCCCTCCCACACATCCTAAACGAAATGGAAATTAATGGCAAGAAATCCAACTTCTGAGTCAACTTAACCAAATATGAGTTACTACCACTCAACACGACACCAGACATAAATACACAACTACGACAGCAATTACACTTCACATGGGCCCCCACCTCCATTAAGTACCTAGGAATACATCTACCACAAGATTACCCAAGTATATGACTTAAATGTCCCCCTCTACTATCGGCCATAGCCAAAGATTTGAAAAAATGGCACAAACCAAACTGCGGATGGTTCAGTCGCCTGAACATTCTAAAAATGAATGTGCTGCCACGTATCCTCTACGTATTGCAGGCCATCCCCATAACTCTCCCCAATAAATTCTTTGTCATGATTAGGACCCTGACTACATCCTTCCTATGGTCATATTCTCATCCCCGACTGGCCAAGCTCTTTTTACCAAACCTCAGGATAAAGGGGGGAATAGGACTCCCTAACATAGAGATGTATCACAAGGCCATTCACCTAACAAGGATATATGAATGGGCAAACAAGACTACAACCCACCAATGGGTGAAAATATAATCTGCCTCCATGGAGGCTCCCATTATGACAATCCCATGGCATAAAACAGGTCTTACACTGCTACAACACAAGCATCACCCAACGATCGCTTCTGCCAAGTGGCGAAAGAGACCCCACGGCCTTCGAGCAGTTATGCCTGACACACTCGCTCAAATGCAAAACTTTATCCACTATGTACAAGCTCCTACAGAAAGAACAAATAGAGAAACTCCTGCAAATCACAGGGAAATTGGAATAAATGGCTTCAAAGATTAGAAGGGGTGAATCAAATGGAGGAAATCACATTCTCCAGGTTATAAAACTATGATAAATACACGCAAACATGGGAACAATGGACCACATTCCTACTGCTGGAGACCGATGCTCATAATCTGCAGAACTAGATAAGTAGACAACCTCAGAACTTTGTTATAACTGGAGTAGAAGTAGTAATACACACACACTGGGCACACACTCAGTAGCTCACAGGGATAAATGAGACAGATACCTTGACACTCCACAATGACTATATCTGTGAAGACAGTGATACACTTACACCGAACCACCCAATGACTATCATGCACCAGGCTACTGTCAAGGTTAAAGGTACATACAATGTTTGAAATGATGTTCCAAAAATATATAAAATGCATGTATAAACAAAGAATACCATGTAACAACAAACTCTGTTAAAGGTCTATCTGTATGCTAGGATGGAATGCATGTACAACAAATGCGAAACTCTGTTCAATGCAAATATTTTCATATGTAACAATGTCACACATTGTATCACTGTTGTTTGCAAAGCATATTATTGAAAATCAAATAAAAATATAAGTAAATAATAAAAAAATGTGTTTAATTACCCTTTTTCCAAGGCCGAGACTATCTAGGTCAGGCATAGGCAACCTTCGGCACCCCAGATGTTTTGGACTACACATCCCATAATGCTTTGCTAGCATTATGGGTGTAAGTGCATTATGGGGGATGTAGTCCACAACATCTGCAGTGCCGAAGGTTGCCTACCCCTGATCTAGGTGCTGCTGCATGCACCTCCTCCGTGATGTCATTTGACAGACATCACTTCATTGTTTTCAAAACCATTGCTTCTAATAGAGAAGCATTGGAATTGGAAGTACACACATGGTGAGCACCTTTTGTGAATTCAATCAAATACGTCCAACTTTCCATATCTGAGTCAAACTCATTAATGATTGCAGAGTGCCTCTAGTGCTGTCAGGAAGATTGCCACTAGAGGTGTGTTTATCCCTGTGTTCAAAACATTGCCATATCTAATAAACATTAATGTTTTAGATTGCATGCCTAAAATGCCAGGAGCTCTGCACCCAGTCAACTGCATTTAGTATAATTTTATTTTAAATAATAATACATTGTTTTCTCTACCATTTTAAATATACAATAAAATGAATGTAAATGTATCAAATTGTTAAAAAATACGTCATACCTGTATTGTAATAAACCGGAGCTAAAATTTGTTAAAAAACTATAATAAGGAGAAGAATATATGAAATTTACATTTTATAGTTTAAGATTATGAAAGGTTTCACTGCCTTGTGCATCCTTTATGCTTTGTTTAAAATTAGACTTGCTCATGGATTTACAGATTATTTTCTAGCCAACAGAAAATACAACTATATCCTTGCTTCATTAATGAAGAATGAAATGTAATATTCACCCAAGATAAAGGAAATGCATTATAGCAAAGAGGCTTAAGCATAGCCTATACATATCATCATTTTATACTTTAGCATGGTTTAATTCTCCCCATTTTTTCTCTCTCATATTGTGATACATAAGGACGTGTTGCATGGAGAGACGTTCGGCATCGTGCGATGGTCATTGTCTTGTAAAATCACGGTGCTAATAATCTTGCTGCTTTGTCATCTCTTACAATTACAATACTGGTAATAACAAATACAGTGCACACTCAGGTATCCAATCTGCTGGCCTGGCTATTGTATTGATTTCTCCAGACGCATGTGCTTGTTTGATAAGAAAAATGCAGCTAGAAACTGAATCTGATCATTTTAAAGATGTTATTTATTTTGTGAAAGGAGAACTGAATTATGATTAATATAGGGACTTCTTTAAACATAATCTGGTGTATATTTAATATGTGCGAGCAGAATTGCCACCTTTGTTCCCCTGGAGATTTTTTTTCTTCTAAATATGTTTTTTTTTCTATATTTTCTATATACGAATGCATGTATATTTCTTTTTTTTTAAATGCTGGTGGCTTTATTTGTACTTTAATTTAAAGACAAACCTTTTGAAGTCCCAGCTGCGTAATTTAAATGCTGTGAAATTTTACACAGCCTGTGCCAAAAATATTCTCCCAAAATGCAGGCAGATGTGTGGTGTCTGCTTTCTCAATGAGCAAAATATTACAAAGGATGAGTCCACAGGGTACAGATTTTGTTTAGCAAAAAAATAACTGATTAAATCATGTAATATATCTTCACAAACAGTTAAGTTGAGATTCTGTTGGCTAGGTTTCTTTGTCAACAAATGTATAGTATTTCTAGAACAGGCCTGGTTAAAAGCAAATCGAAAATCAACCAATCAGAAGATTATTTATGGAACCTCTCTTGGAATATATGAATGCAAAGCTTTAAAAGATATTTATAGGGATGCGTGGCTTGGCTGCTCACCAAGATGGATCCGTGAGTTACCAGCTCAATGTGTGGAGAGCTAACACTGTGATTAAAATAGCAGGAATTGTAGGACAACGTTGAGGACCACCATGGTGCAAAAATCCTTGAAAAAATGAAGGCAAAAAGCCATGCTACAGGTATCAACCTTATCCTCACCTCACGCCCAAGAAGGTGCCAAAGGCCCTCGATCACCAACCTCTTACTCCAACAGAAGCAACAGCACATGTCCATCTGTCCACCAAATGCTGAAGGAACTACAGACCTCCCTTCAAGCTGACTTCACAAAACATGCCAAAGATGTCCGGATGGACATACAAGCAATGGGTGAACGCACATCGCATTTGGAGCAGAAGGCGGAGCAGTTGATTGAAGCGCATAATTCACTGGTTTATGCTTATAGCTGCATGCCAAATTTCATTGCGTAAGTGACAAAGTGGCAGAACATGAAGATAGGGATAGGCGCAGCAAGGTGAGGCTAAGGGGGCTCCCGAAAACATTCTCCCTCAGACATTGGAATTTTATGCAAATGAACTGTTTGTCATCTTAGTTCTAGAGCTCATTCAACAAGAGTTGCCTCTGGATTGAATCCACCGCTTACCTAAGCCAAAGAACCTGCCAACATCGCTTCCTCGTGATGTGATCACTAAATTCCATTATTATACCACGAAGGATAGAGTCATGCAAGCATCCTGGCTCTCACCTGCACTACCGGAAAAAGCGCTGGTCAAGAGGAAGGCCTTAACATGGTCACCAAAGCACTGTGATCAGCGGATTTGCCATACAAATGGGGCTTCCCTGCACAATTGATCGTCTGTCACAACCAAACAAACCAAAATATCCTTACCGTTGAGGAAGGCTGCAAGCTGCTCCAAGAGTGGAAGATTCCGATGGACCCGCCAGCGGATCATTAGAAGAAGCAATCAACACATCTGTCCCCGACGAAGCTGAATTCTGACTGGCACATTATACCCACAGCTAAGTGACTCTAGCCGTAGTGGTGACCCATACCTACTAATAAGTCAGGGCACCTAGTCCGAACCGCTTTGATGTGGGTGATGACTGAGCATTTGTGTTGGGGAAAACCTCATTGCTGTTAGTATTGTTGTGCTGCTTAGTTCTGCAGCGGTTTAATATTTCATGTTCACCACAAGGGCTGAAAATACCTTACTCTCCCTACGTTAGGAGTATACCTCCAGGATGGGAGTATCCATACCTCCATGGCTCTACAGAGCCAAATTTAATCCGCCAGTGCGTAGCCGCATTATACCTGGCGGCTATTTGTACATAGTTTATTTTATTTTTATCTTTAGTTTTACCCCTTCACTTCGTTGGTACAACCCTCTCCCTTCACCCAAACCATGTCCAAACCACAAAGCAACCATAAACATGGATTTGTCCACTATGGGAAATTGAGTGTCACATATGCTGCCGGGAATTTTCCAGATCCGGCTTTCCTTGGGGCTGTTGTCCCTCCTAGCTTCCCCTGGCACTTAAGGGTGGGTGATTCCCACCAAATGTGCTGCTGCAGTGGGGCTGGAAGGGACGGGAGTGGTGTAAGGGCTATATCTGGGTACAATATAAGTGCTGACACTGAGGGTGGATTGCCAGGCTTCAATGCCCTTGTAGAGGAGTGCCAAACACCCAGAGAAAGGCAAATCACACATAAAAATGGTGCAAACATAAAAACAAAAAACTGTAAAAATCGCAAAAAAAAATGTATAAAACTTAAAAAAATGAAAAAAACTATAAAACTAAAAAACAAAATAAAAAATATGCCCTTCCAGTTTGGGCAGAATGGAGCACCCAGAGTGTGGATCTTAATGGTCCTCAGATAGGAAATTGCACACACCCCATCAAGCCTTCTTTATTTAATATGCAATGAAGATGGGCATATTATGGTCCTATTAAAACCTCGTATCCCCACCATTGCCCAACACATGACCGACCAGCATCTAGAAATAGCTCATGATACCTCTTAATATTATTTCAATTAATGTCACAGGCTTAACTCACCCAACAAGTACAGACTAGCACTTACTGAGGGGAAAATCCATGGGGCCAACATAATGTTCTGCCAAGAAACGTATTTAAAATGGGGTGCAAGACCGAAACCTAGCCCCAAACACTACCCCTCTGACTTTCATTCATGATACAGGAGGAAGAAAAGAGGTGTGTCAATCCTGATAAATAAAGACGTATCCTTCACTCTGGTCAAATAGGTGGGAGATACTTGTTGTTACAATGCTATGTAAATAATGAACAGTATACGTGTGTCAATATGTATGGTCCGCACAATAACCAAACTGCTTTTCTAGAAAAGATTTTTGCTCTTTTACAACAATACACAAGTTTGGGGAAGTAATACTTGGAGGAGACACTAATTTTCTACTAGATCCCATACTAGACTCCACATCCACTGACAGGGTAGCAATGGCTACTGTAAAGAAGAGAGACTCTCTTGCCATCAAACTAAGACACACGCTCCTACAACATGACATTCTTGATGCATGGTGTGTACTACACCGCTCTGACTTTACATACTACTCCATGGTATACAATACATAAACATGGATATACAGGTTTCTAATACGCACAGCCTTTATGCCCAAGATACAGATTGTGACCTTAGGATCAATAACGTTGTCAGACCATGCCCCCATTATCCTATCGATACAAGAACGGTTCCCCTCTAATAGGACAGGTATATGGAAATTAAATTACTCTCTTGCTAAAATCTTAAATAATGTAATCTGTAAAGACTGGCCTACACTTTTACTTCCAATTAAACCCTGCTGCAGACACTAGCACTGAAATGATATGGCAGGCTCACAAGGCAGTTAACGGGGGGAGCCTTATAAAAGCAGCAAGCTACAAAAAAAAACAAAAAACAAACAAAGGACTAAACTATATACAGATACAATACAGGAACTCTCGGTCCTGACACTTAGAAATGAACACAACCCCTCACCCACTACACAACATAAACTAAGAGCCCTGCAATAAATATACAAACACGATGAAAGAAAATCTAACGCAGCATCTGTAAAGGTTGTGTGGTAATTAGGGCATAACCCAACATAGAAATCAATAAGAAGATTAGTACAGACTAATACCAATCCTATTACCCTTATTAAAGTACTAGCCCAACACTGGAATGAGAAAACCTTAAAAATTTATAATTCACAACTTTATTAAATTCCTATAAAGATGATACAAAAACACACAAAAAAAACAGTGCCGGAAAAATTTGCTAATGTAAAAAAAATAGAAAATAAATAAAATTGGACAAGCAGATGGGTCCTATATAGATAGTCAGAATGATCTCCTAGCTTGGAAATAGACTAGAAAGGCGGTGAATGTAACCTGATACTATGTTGCAAAAATGCATACAAATTGAAAGCACCCAGCTAAGTCTTATGAACTGCTGGGGGCTAAGGAAGGCTGATGTAGTATCTAACATATAACAATAAATGTAGATAAAGAATAGCAGACTGATCCTAAGGCAGTGTAATGGATCATAGGCAGAAATTGTAGAGTTAAGAAGGCTCTGTATGAGCAGGTGACTATGGCTACCTGCTTGCTCCTTATCTTCCCACCCCTTTTACATAAAAAAAACTCAAACAGATGACTGCACTTATCATACTAGCTGCTAGGAATTTGATAGCGGTCAATTGGAAAACAACAACATGCCTCTCAACCCCTCAACTCCTACAAAAAATACAGCTCTACTATGTCTATGAGCGGATGTCTCTCAGCTATCCTGTGCAAGCCAAACCTTTTGAAAGTGCATGGGGTCGTTGGGTGGAATATTATGAGGCCCACATAGGTGAGACAATCAGGCCATTGGCGAGATCACGCCGCAACAGGGGGGCCTCAACTGTGGGAGACAGGGTACAGATCATGGAGGTTTGTCATGACCCAAACTCATAGGAGCATGACCAAGGGATATCACTGCAGACTTGGGCGACAGACACAGACACACCTCCCACACAAATGACCAAATTACCATAGATGGACTCTAGTGGATGGACACACAGAAGATTGTGGTTAAGATTAGTTCTTCCCCTACCCCTCCCAATTTCTTTTCTGTACCCCCTTCCCATCCTTTTTCAGTTTTTTCTTGTTCCTCATCGCAGGATGCATGCTCTGGTTATGCATTGGAAATTATTGTATTTCTCAGAATGGTCAAGCATGTGAAAATCAAACACTACTGCTCATGTTATTGTATCATTACACATATGGTGTCTACACCTTTCAATTGTATTTAAGTATGCTGTTCTTTCTATGTGAAAAATCAATAAAAACTTTATGACAAAAAAAAAAAGATATTTATAAAAGTGTTTCAAAAAATGTATTCAAACATTGTGTCTTGGTATAAATCTCCGGAATTGTTATCAGTTCTTTTAGGATTTTTCAAAATTCTAGAAAATGACAACAGGCTACAGCTAAATAAAAATGGGCAAAAAAATATGCATTTTCTAAATGACATCCAAGCTGTTTTGCTTAATGGACATAAGAAGTCATTTATGCCACAGAAGAAAATAAGCCCCTAAACTAGAGAGAGATATATTAAAGGTAATTTTTTAAACCATTCCATTGTCATCATACTTGTAACGTAACAGTTTTAATGACCAAGTGCTAACATTTGCCCATTATATTGCTTTTTTTTATTGAGTGTGAAACAAATATATTTCAAAGACTAAAATTGTAAAATTGGTAAAACTATCTTTCTTTTACTGTACATCAGCAAATAAATTGCAGATAGAATAATTTGATGAGAGTAGTTTCCTAATGTGATATTTCTTTATTTATTGATATACAAGTAGAAGGGGGGATGCTTATAACTAGGGATATTTCATTTGACACAATACACAGAATCTAGAAAATAGTTTCCATACATAGAGCCATATTATTTTCATGGTCAAGCACCATGGAAAGCTAAACTCACTCATCGACAAAAGGACAGGAAATACAACTCTGTTGTTAATGTAGACAAATATGACCTTCCCTAACAGTAGCTAGCTCACTAATTCCACAAAACAAGTGAGAATATAATGCTTCCATGATGATTGATCAGAAAACCAAAATTACAGCTGTGACGATACGGCCTTAAGATATCGTCAGTGGGTATTTTTTTACATAACTTGCAGCACTAAACTGTTCCACTAAATGCTAGGACTCCTCTTTGGTAGCATACGCAGGATAAACTGAGTTGATATCTGGTTACTATATGATATTCTATACATCCAGTCTTCTGGCAATACTCTTATTAGTAATTACTCTATAGAGGACAATGAATAGCCATATAGGTCTTGGGCTGAGCGCAGGGGTCTCGACGGGACATACTTGTGTATGATGGAGGATAGGTATGTTGGAGCAGCATTATGTAGGGATTTGTAAGCAAGCACCAGAATTTTGAAT